ACTACTTGGATAACCGTGGTAAAGTATGTTCTATCCATGAAGCCTGGTTGGTTTCTGAGGTATTTCATTATTGAGATTTTGTAACTTCCATAATAGAACCATTTATCAGAGACTGTACATTCACTAAACAACGATGACATTTGGCAACAACGTGATGCTGGAAACTCATCAAGGTGGGAAAAGGCATACTCAGATATACAAAAGATTCTGTAATTGACCATCACTCGAAATATACTACTGACATACATCCATGGCAGTCGTCGACAGACTTTCTAAACTTGCTTCTATATTGAACCGCGCCTCTCAAACTTATCAGAGTCATCTTTCTCGGGTTATATACTTCTTACAGCTTACCGCTAGAATCCTGGCTTGTGGATATAGAATAATACGGGTTGAGCTTCAGCCACCGTTCTTCTACCATAGCCACGTACTTATCAAAGTTCACACGCTGCCATTTGGGCAGAGTGCGGCTGCTAAGATCGTACTGGTGTAGGGAGTTCCATTGAGAATCATACCAAATCCCCTTCTCATCCTGTTCCAACTTCCACCAATCATGCTGCATCCAGGAAAAAGACATCTGGGCCCTGAAGTTGGGTTTCTGTAACTCATAGTTAAACCATAAGCTCCATGGGTTCCACTGATCTTCGAGGATAAAGCTGTGGAGAGAGGGGCCAGTAGGGAAGGCTTCAGTATCATCTCTGCCAAGATGCAGCGCCGAGCGGCTTACAGCTTCACACAGCCGGTGCCAGCACTCCTTCGCGTCACGCTCCTCATCAAATCCTCCAAGTCTTTGAGCCTTTGAGGTGATACCTTTCAGGGCTTCCAGGATACACTGCAAGGCAAGCAGTTCATTCGAGTCGACCGCCTCATAGTCCACCAGTAGCTGGATCTTCTCTTGGAATCCATGGGTGACCTCGCCCAAGTACGATTCTTTCCAGATCATTAAAGAATCCATGATTCCTAGGAACAAACTCCATGTCACGTTCCCTATATTCGTTTTGTTACCCCACCAATCATCATCCCCGCCATACCAGTGAAACCCTGTCCATTTCTCTACTTGGCTTGGTAGTCTGTCATAAGTGACTTTGAGAGACACTCCGCGTCGTTTATATTCCTCAAGCACGATTTCCAAGAAGTCCTTAGGGCAGTGTGGTCGCAAAGCCACATCAAACGGCGTATAGATAAAGCGCCTGACATCTCTTTCATCATGATGGAACATCCTCTGTGCTGCCATGTTTACCCGGTAAGGTAAGCAGAATCCGTAGCTCTTTAGAAATCGAATCACCTCGATAATGTCTTTTGTTCGAGCTCGCTCAGTATTCTGGCCCAGGAAAGTGACCAGAAGCTCAGGCATTTTATGATAATGGTCGTTGCTATGATACCTGTGCCATGGCTGGTCCATTGACTCATTTGCTTCCAAGCTTTCGTCAAGTAGCCATTTCAATCCGTTGCAGAATTGTCCGACAGGAAAAGAGCCGCAGATAAAGTATTCTAGAAAGGTATCAAGAATACTGTGCCTCTTAGGTGGCTGTTCCGACGGATAACTGCAGCCGTGGGGAAGTGTTCTCATGGTGAGGGGTGGTACAGCACCACACTGAGTACATCTTTGAATAGCTTCCTGGTCGCCATGTTCAACAGAGGAGAAAGATACGGCGCAGTCATCAGCAAAGTAGTGCATTGACCGAAAACTTACTGCCAAGCTCTTGAGATCTCTGTAAGACATACTTCCTCCATGATGTATCAAGTCCGATGCCCCTGTACCTGTGTATTCTCATACTGCAAAGATTGGCCAACACGGTTATCTCTTCTTCTCATTGGAGCAAGCTACCAGGTTCCTAAGCTATGACTCTGTCATGAACCGCCGGAAGCTCAGAGAACAGCATCGGGCGCGTTTCAATCCGCTGGCCATGAGGGTTGTACAAACTCAAAGACCCTTTCCCCTTTCCATAAAAACAAATCCACACCAGCATGTAAAGCAATAATGCAAACCCTTATCAAAACAAATCCCTGAATCAAACTGCAAAACGTATTACGCTCAAATCCGATCGTGGGCATCCGAAGAAGCCACCCACCGCCCATACCCAGTATCAGTAGCAACACAGTGCTCATGGTGATCGTCACACCAACAAGACAAGTCATTCGTCTTGATAAGACCAAGAAGACCCATCAATCGTGAGATCTGACGACAGCACTTCCAATGTTCCAGAACTTGGGATTTATATCCTCGTCAATATAAAACCGGTGCGGACGACGTGTCTCCTCAGGAAACTCCTCCTCGTCCCAATCAGATATACCCCAATACGTGCTCATGAGCTCAGGCGCCGATGCAGAATCTCGAATAGCCTTGCGGAATGCGCTCCAGCGGTATTTCCCGTCGGATGCATGGGTGGCCGGGCTCGGCTTGGGCATTTCGGCGATGTCTCGAAGAGCCTTCAGAATTCCCTGGAACAAAGACAGCTCATGCTCGTCGATGGCGCTGTAGCGTATGAGCAGTTTCATCTTGGCCTCCCAGATGTCGGCGGCTTGTCCCAGGTACTCCTCTTCCCAGTTGGAAGTAGGGTCCATGAGGTCACGGTACAGATAGGTGACTACGATTGCAAAGTCGGTCTCGATGAACCACGGCTCGTGGTGGGGTCTGCCGGGGAAGAAAGGTTCCTGGGCGTCGTACCAATCTTCCATCGCTGGCGGGGGCGCCCAAGTATCCAGTTCCAGGTCAGTGAGGAAAAGTCCGCGTTTGGCGTACTCTTGAAGAAGGACTTCGAGGATCATAGGAGGACAATGGGAGCGGAGGGCAATGGCCATGGTAGTTTCAAGCCATCCTGGATGCAGGAGGGGACCGCAGTCAGAACAATTGCATTGTCGTTCCTGTTCTCTAAAGCCTGGGGCTCGTTCAGGGTACACACGGAGAGGGATGGGCAGACCCTGACCGCTAAGGAACTGGATCATCTTACAGACTCCTTGCACTTTGTCAGGGTCGGCTATCCCTCTCTGAAAAAGCTGAACCAGAGACTCTGGCATCATGTTGCTCTGTGATGAAAGAGAGTGGTGGTGTCGGGGCCAGTGTCGGAGCGAGAATCCCTTCGAGCACAACCACATGAGAGCATTCGCAATGTTTGGGTTCCATTCTCCTTTGATGATGCGAAACAGAAGAATGTCAATCGGTCGGTGCTGGCGGTGCTTTGCAAGCTTGTTGCGACATTTGCACTTGACGTACTTCTTCCCCCACACGATGGAGACATCAACACCGCCGAACTGGTAGCTGCGCTCCATTCGGGCCACGTCTGCAGTCTTTAGTGCTTCGCGGAAGTCTTCAAAGCTGCCTGATTTGTAGTACGAGGGACGGATGACGTTGAAGAGCCCAGCTGAAGATAAGGCCAGGGATCGAAGGTCTTTGATTCTGGGCTTGTCCATATTCTTGGTTACCATGCGTATCAGCTCGACGGGGAGACGGGCGATGGCTCCTGTCTGCTGAGGTCTGTTGTCGGAGGGCAGCACGATAAAGGATGGGCATCCTGAGTTGAGAGGGAGGAGGGAACCCATGGTGATGGGTTCCTGGTTGGGATGGCAATGGGGAGTCAAAGTATCGCTGTGGCTTTTGAGTTGATGATGTTGTGAGAGTTTAGTTCGAGAGAATCCGGGAGGAGTAAACAAGATCTGCAGCGTTGAGATTTTGAAACTAGCAGCGAAGCAGCGGCGTGAACAAGAGTGGCATGCCACTGCTGCAGTATCAACCTGCCACTGTCAGATTTCAGCCTGAGGCCGTGCCAGCTAAGCGCGGAATAGAGCATGTTTAGGCTTAAGAGTGAGCACTGTAGAGGAGGTGAATTAGGGAAGTGTGTCAAGAAGTAAACCTCGTTCATCAATTGTGGTGCCAAAGTATATGTACACAGTATCGGATTCAGGATTGTATCATTTCCAGTGCAAACATCCCTTAAACGTTCCAGTCTTAGGCAACATAACTCTTTGCAGCAATCGTGATTCCTTAAAGACAGTGATAATATCTAAAGTTGATCTCGTTCGGCTACTCGCAGAACTTTTGCCCTCTAATTAACGACATAGAAAACGTACAAATGAGATATTTAGGCGCGGGGAAAAGCAAAGGAACAAGAAAACCAAGACAAAGGAACCCCAAAGATTTACACAACTCTCTCATCTTCTGTCGAAGCCACCTGAAGAAAGAGGCTTATAAGAATCTGCCATCCAGTATACAAGTGCTGCTCCACTGACTTCCGAGGACAATCAAGCTGAGTTAGACCGCAAAACAACAGTGGGAGTCATGGCTTTAGAGCGTTCCTCAATAATGCGGCCGTATATCGAGTCAAAGCTGTACCAGGGGTTTCCTTCTCGGCACGCGATCTTGATACTTTTGTCGGAGTACCTATCCCCCAATACCAGCCTAGGGGAGGAAAGAAAATACAGAACCTCGATCCTAAATAACAAAAAGACTAAGGTAATATAGTCTAAGCTTAGGATAACTTTTAGGGAGTTTATTTTAGCACCTTATATTAAGGTTCGCTGTTTTCTTGCCCCCTGAGGCCAGCTTTGTGCGGGTAGATTGTTCGTTCAACTGACGGGAAAGTCAGTGATTATGTTGGAGTTCTCGTTCCCGAGGTCAAGCTTTCCAGAGGCCGTGGTCGACTCATGCTTTACCGTAGCGACTCAGACACTTCAGCGTACTATAACCCCTTTTCTCTCAAAAGGTTTTCCACGGAGCACCTTGTTTATTATAGGCTATTGTCATTCGTCGAACGGCAACACGGCCCAGCTGTCGTGGAACTAAGTGGTGTCAATTATCACGAATTTTTGAGTACTGATTATGTTTCAATCGTCGCCTTCATTGATGATCAAGCCAAAGACTTGATCGAACTATATTCTCAGGTGTCTGAGCAGCTTCGGGGTGAATACGCTTTTGCAATTACCCCTGATTCTAGTCGAGCGAATGATGAAGTGTCACTCGACCAGGTATTTTGCTTCTCAGCACATTCGACGAGCGTCGCAGCAGCTACGAAGGGCCAATTGACCGTGATGCACTCCAGCTCTGTATCAGGAAGTACGGGGCGCCCTTGATTGGAGAACTACACCCGGAGGTTTACGTTTCCTTTGCCGAGATATTCCAACCTACTCGTAACCTCATATGGAATTCGACAGCTGGCAAATGCTGTCAGACAAACTTGCCACTCGAACAGATTTCAGTAGCTTCTCCAACAGAGTGCGATCACCTAATCGACTTGCTCTATCCGCTGGCTTGAGAGTTCAGCAGCGTCTTGACCTTTGTTGCCGTCGATTCAAACAGGTACCCCCAGCAAGCGGCAATACTCAATCACGCCGACAGTACCAAATTGGGTTTCGTAATTGAGAATGTCACCTCAACTGAGAGAATTGCATTGAATGCCAGGTCGGTCAATGCCGAAATCATCACAAGATTTGTCCAAGACTTTGTGGCTGGCAAGCTGAAACCCGAAGTCCGGTCTCAGCTCATACCGGCAAAACAATAAGGCCTCTGCGTCGAACTAGTTGGACATACTCTTAGAGAAACAGCTTTTGACGACACTCGAGATGTCCATGTGGAGTTTTACAGACCATGAGGTGATTACTGCCTACCGTAAATCTGCTTCTCACCCGATGGAGATCGACTCTAATCAGCACGCTAGGTTACATGATGTACTCGAAGAGCTCGCCGTGCACTATCGCGATGTCGGACTCAGTGACAATATATCCATTGCCAAAATCGATGTGAGCAGTAACGACGTCCCTAAATTGATCACAGGTTACCCAACGCTGAAACTATACCCCATTTCAGGGCAACTATCACGAGTCCATTCCTCTAGTGACATTGGCTTCTTTCATTCAATATCGTGGCAGGAATCAGCCAGAGGCTAGGCCTTCACAGCACTCAGATTCTTCAACAATGTCTGAAGCCATGACTCTAAGAGAGGCAGGACAGGCTGGCTTGGCAAGTAAGAGCTCGAACAAAGCCGATTTAGGCCAACGGCACACGAACAACTATAACAGGGACGCGTTCAAATTCTAGAGAAATAGAATAGAGGATGTTGGGGAAAGAAATAAAACCTCTAATTTGTGCTTGCTATGCTTTTTATGCCGTCTATGATAAACCCAATGACCCAGTCTAAACAAACACTCCAAAACAGTAAAGACAGTATCGCTCATCTATGCAAACAACCCGATGTAAGAAAACAACACAACACAAGAAGCACCGTCCAGCGTGTGCTTGTCGACAGTCTAACATCAAATGAGATGTCAGGCTTGGTAGAGAGACAGCAAGATGTGCGTCTTAGTAGCGTGGATATCAAGGAACCTAACCAAGGATACGTGCTAGATGGAAGTTCTTGATAATCCAGTCTGCGCCTGAATTGCCGCGTCGAAGGTATGCCTCATAGGCTGTCTGAAGGATGTCTCCCGGGCGGAAGCCAAGCCCATGCGCGCTCTACTTTCCTCCAACATGAAGGTAGACACTAGACAGCATTATGGCATACAGGAACTCTGAATTCTGGTTACCTCGTGATGGAACAAGTCAACTTTGCCAAACTTCCTGTGGTATGAGAACAAGAGGAAGACGAGATGCAAGCAGCTAGTCTCTGAACAAAAAGGAGGGGGGACGAGCGCAGAGCGCACACTGTAGCCCGATCCCTTGAGTTGGGATGACTTCCTTTTGCAGCGCAGTGACTTTGCCCCTCCGCGATGACTACTCAACACTGAAGCCTGTTTCCTGAGTGCGAACCCCCTCCTTGCTGAAGAGTTCAGACGAAGAATCCAGCCAGTCTTGAGCCCCGACCCCCCTCTCTACCAGCTCCCTCTCTCGCCGTAGCAACGCACATCTCCCACACACATCTCCCACACATCTCCCTGCTCGCCAGTGTTCAGATCCTCCGACTTCATCCCCCCAACCAAACGCACTCTGTTCCCACGAAAAATCTGTGCCCTAAGCCCAATAGCCCTTGAAATCTTTGACTCACAGGTACTGAAGCTGCGCGAACGCGTTTTAAATTTCTCCCCCATCTCACCTCGCTCCAGATTCTCCCACCTCCTCTCCTTTCCACCAAAGCGGCTGACCACAACTCAATCCTTCGCAACTCACAAAACACTCAACGTAAGTCATCTTGCCCTCTTCTTTACATCTCATCTCTAACCATTACAACAGGCTACTGCTCGATATCACCATCAACGGCTCACAAAACACGAGCGCGTCTCATCTTTCCCTTTCTTCCCATCTCCTCTCCCATAACCACCACAAAACCTTTCCCTCACCCCTCATCCCCAAGCGAACGGTCATCATGTCTTCCGCAGCCAACGCCACCCCGGAGATCACCACCTCCTCCGAGAGCAGCGCGCCCGCCACTGCTCTCATCACCGTCACCATGGTCACCAACCCCTCCACCCTCGAGCGTCTCCCCCAGGAGATCCTCCTCAAGATCAACAAGCTCCTCATCTTCCGCGGCGCCTCCCGCCTCGCCCGCACCTCCAAGTATCTCCACCGTATCCTCAACGGGGAGATCTACAAGCTCGCCGGCAAGCACGACAACTGGTACCCGCTCTTCGTCGCCGCAGCCACCGGCAACATCGCCACGCTTGAGAAATGCTTCGAGAACGGCGCCGTGGTCGACACCCACTGGCCCATGTTCTCGTCCCTGGAGTTTGGTCACGGCCAGCGTCTCTACCTCTCCCTCGGATGGCGTCCTCTCCGCCAGGCCATCTCTTCTCGACAGACCGTCGCTGTTGACTGGCTCCTCGAGCATGGCGCTGATCCTGACGAGACCCTCATGGAGGCGGTCTTGATGCATCGTCGCGAGGCGCCCCTTGGCTATGCCTATCGTTGTGGATTCGGGCCGGTCCAGAATTGGATCACCTGCCGCTCTATTCTCTTTGCTCTCCTCGAGGCTGGAGGTGACCTCAATGAGGTTGAGGAGCGTGCGGCTGATGAGATTGAGGCTATGTACGACTACCGCTGGTACATCTCCCATTACTGGCAGATGTAAATGGCAACAGTCCTCACATGCTGCTCGTTGTTTGGGCTTTGAGCATTCAAGTTCTCGAGACACTCACGCCTCGCCGCACCGAACGACTTCCTTTTGGGGCTCGACTTTTCTTTTTCGCTTTGTCTTTTAAGTCTCGCCATCATTTCACCTGTTCGCTCTTATTCACGAGTATTCCTGGCATGGAAACACTGAGTAGTGCATGAGCGACGTGATGATTGGGCTGAGTACAGGGTAGTGAGGTAACAAGGACTCACATGGCGTTGGACGGTATAGGCGTATGGAAGGAATACCCATGTGAATTTAATCATCATCTCCGCTCTATGAGTAGGCAGCAGTATCGTTTTACAGGGTTTCATGTATCGTCACGAGGATATGTTGCTATTTTGGAGGAAGTCGACGGATAATGTGGATCAAGTAGACAGAAATCTATTGCTTGTACTGTCTCGCAAAAAAACAAATCGTATACGCTCTCGCAAGTCTAGTCTATGAAAATCTAATACAATCCACTCTCCCCCGTTCTCGCCATGTGCTGCTGACACTTGATCATGATATCCAACTGATCACTGACATCCTTCAACCGCCCCAGCACCTTTCTGTTACCATCGGTAAAGTTGAGGATCGAGTACGGCACACCAGTGTCGTTGCAGAATTCTCGGATCATGAACTGCACCTTGCGCAAGTTATGGCGCGGCACACGAGGGAACAGGTGGTGAACGGCCTGGAACTGCAGACCGCCGTGCACAAAGTCCATCCACGCAGGGCAATCAACGTCCATGGTGGTGCGGAGCTGGCGCTGCGCAAAGGACTCGGTCTCGCCGAGGTCGACGGTCGACATTCCCCAGTGGGAGAGGGTGATCTGCACGTGGAGAGGCATGGTGATGATGTGGGATACCAGGACGAAGATGACGCGGGTGGTCCAGTCGGGGAGACCGCGCCAGAGGAGGCAGTAGCCGAAGAGGAACCAGTAGCAGGCCATGAAGGTGATCTCGGTAGGTCGAATCCACCAGGCGCGACTCTTTCCAAGTTGAGAGGACTTTTCAGACAGAACGTGCAGCCAGGAGAGGAGGTACAGGTTGAAGCGAGCGATGCCCATGACGGGGTAGTAAGTCCAGCGCTGGAAGGGAACGAGGAAATCGGCCGCGGCGTCCCAGACGAAAGTGAAGTTGTAGTAAGTTGAGCGAAGGGACTTGAAGAACGAGGGGCAAGTCGCAAACAGGGGGACGTTCTGAATATCAGGATCGTGTTCCTAAAAAAGGTCAGTATTGAGTTGTGGTTGACGAGGGCGAGTTGTCTTACAGGTTGGTTCGTCACAAGGTGGTGCACGTTGTGACTGCTCTTCCACCATCCAATCGACAGACCACAGCAGAAATCAGCAATAAACATGCCAATAAGAGTGTCGACGACAAAATTAGACGTAATCGCAAGATGGCCAGCATCATGCGCGCTAAACATGATTTGATGCTACTCAAGTTAGTCCAAAGCTTCAGCAACACGACAAGGAGCAACATACCCAGAACAATCCCAGGAACACAGCAGATGTGATGTACCACTGGTTATAGAACAACACGCCAAAGAGCGTAAACAGCGTGGCGTACCGCATCATCTCCTTCCCATACTCAACGTACGGACACTGATAAAGACCCTCATCGTGAATCCGCTGGTGAAGAAGCTGGTACTTTCTCGCAATCTCATCCTGCACCCTGGTATCCAGCGAAGGGTACGTTTCAAGATCGTTCTGAATCTCCCGAGCGACTCCTGCATTCGCCACACGCAGCGTCGCAGTGCGCTTTCGTGAGTCGTCTGTCTTCACCGCCCGCTGACGGAGACCCTCCCCTTCATCCTTGACGTCGACCACGCTGGGCGATGACGAGGCGGAACTAACGGCGTCGTCGAGGCTCGTGTTGTCGTTGTCGTCGGTGTCGGAGGATGTGCTCGAGTCCGAGATGTCGATATCTTGGGCGTCGAGGCGGAAGACGCCGCCTCTAATTGGTGGTGTGCGGTTCACCCAGGATCCTTGCTTCCGGCCGATCCGATAGGCCTTCATTGTTCGCAAGGTCGCTTCCGAGTGATAACTACATCCCAAAGAAGAATAAACGTGTTAGCTTGATCTGATCTGATCTGTGTTGTCTCCCCCACCCGCACACACACACAAATGCACTGTAAGGTACATGTCATATTGGCGTGTAGAGAGACCAATGGTGTTGTAGTGTGTTTCCCATTTTGGTGTAGTGCACCCGTCCCGTCCCAACGCTCAAACCTCAACACCATGAAAAAAGCATCGTGACTTACGCTTTCATCTCGTCGGTGGCATCTCTGCCCACCATGTGAAGAACTGCTAATCTTCCACCGGGATGTCTATCCATCCAGCCATCGAGCTTGAGTACCGAGTCTTCGAAGACGACGATTGTTTGACCAGCTGCGATCATCCTCTCAACCGCCGCAGCGGTCAAGATCTTGTCGCGGTTCATTTCGGGGGGTGACTTTTTGGTATATAAGGAATGTCGAAATGAAAAGGAGAGACAAGACAATTGGGAACAAAAAAAGAGAAGAAGGGAAGAAGGAGAGGAAAACAGTGAGTGAATCAAGTGTCACTGTAGGTAGGAAGAGAGAGTGGATATGAATGAAGAGCAAACAGAGCAGAACGGGGGAATCACAGCAGCAAACAGCCGAGGCAGCACAACGAGATAAGTGCTTTCCACTGGCTCTCGCTCACACTCTCTCTCATCAGGGGCACAGCACAGCCTTGGAAAGAGAGCTATCCATTTATTTCACATCGTACGTACGTACCCCAATGGCGCATATTCGCCCCCCCTCCTCATGCCAATAGCCAAAAAAGATAGCGTCTACGGAGGACTGGGGGAGGGGAGATTGACCACATCTCATCTCCAGAAACCCTTGGTTGTAGCCAAGTCTTTTTTTTTCTTCTTCTTCTTCTCGGGTGCAAGGACCACATATTAAACTGGTACTAAAAAGACCGAGGTGGAGATGGGTTTGTGAAACAAGCAAGAAGAGTGAGTGAGCGTTGGCCCCTGGTAGGTCAGTTAAGTTGCTGCGTCCCTAGGGGGGGATCAGATCTAGACCCGAGTGTGGCTTTGGACGGTCGGTGACAGTGACGGGACACGTTCTAGAAAATAGCTTATTTTTCCTTCTCACCCTGCGCTTTTCGTATGCGAGTGATGGCGAGGGATTGGAAACGTTGGACATTGATTGAACGAAAAGACACGAGATAAATTACACGTATCGCATGTTCTCTCGGTCTGCAATTACGCGTAACAGCTACCAACTACTCAAAACACTTTCCGTACTCCGTACGGACCACTCTCCAACTCTCGTTCTCCTCGTTTTTCTCTCTAACGCGTAATCGGATACCTCCCCCTCCAGGAATAGCTCCTCTCTACTCCGTCCGAGTATGGATACGAAAATCCCTCCTCCACCGTCGGAAAACAACACGCGTTCTGGGTCCTGCGCCCCTGTCCCCACTCCCCCCTGTTCAGCTAGCTCGGGGGGCGTTACAGTGCAGAGACCCTGAATTTTTTGCTGCTTTCTTTTTTCGGGATAGGGGATCTTGGGTCCTGTCCCACGGATGCCCGTATTGGTATCGGCGCTGGTCCGTACGCGTAAACGAAATAAACGAGAGCGAAGTTAAACAGAAAAGGGGGCATGTTCTAGAATAAGGGTCTTATCTTGAAAAGTATAATTGCTGCAGGGTGTCTCTCGGCATTTGTTGGGTGTTACGTACGATGTGTTGCACGTGGTGAACTCTGTTGGAAGCTTGTCATGTTCTACACGAAACCATCTTGAGTAAGGTATCTCTAGCTTCAAGAGGGGGCCAATCTTAGTCCAGTGTAGAGTAGCTGCGTGCTCATGACAACATGCCATGAATCGAACCACACGAATATTAAACCAAAATCTTGGCTGACGCGAAAATAAGAACCTGTTTTTCGTAAACGGCGCAGCAAGAAAAGCGACCTACCTCCTTCAGTAATTAACCTTGCGCCTTTTTTTTCGCCACAAACAGCAAGAAAGGGGATTACTGTGCTTGGCTAGCCTGTGAGAGAGCTAAGCTTTGAATATCCCTGCTCCTTTTTGCGTGGCATTAATGTGTCTCCGTAGAACTGGGTGTCCAATCCTATGGCGAAAAATTAACGTGTCAAGATTAACTCTATGCAGCTGTGACCCAGATCTTGCTAGCGCCCCACGTTTTATCTTGAGTGCTGACTGTTGTGTTGGTAGGTGGGCTAATCTTATCTTATCGCCGTTTGTGTCTGGGGGCGGTTAAATAAAATGAGATGGGGATGGGTTTTGGGACTTTGGTTGGATGGTGTAGGGTAGTGATGATGCTGCGACGGTATGTTCCGTTGAACGATTGAACAATTGAATGGGACAAAGGTTAATTGAACGAGGTTGGTATTGAGAAGATGATGATGTATTGTTCAGTGGCTTTCGAATCATTGCCGACATCGCAAAGTGAACCCCTCATTGCGTGATCTACCGAATATCTCCATCGTTGCACTGTAACAAACCACTCACTACATACGACTCACAACTCAACAACCATCGTCAAAATGCCCTCCCAAGACTTCACCCAAATCCCCATCATTGATATCTCATCCCCCACGCCCCAAACCCTCTCTTCTCTCCGCACCGCCCTCACAGACATCGGCTTCCTCTACATCTCCAACCACTCCGTCCCCACCTCCACGATAACATCCCTCATCAACATCCTCCCAGACCTCTTCGCCCTCTCACCCCAAGCAAAACAAGAAATTGCGCTGGAAAACTCGCCTCACTTTTTAGGTTACAGCGCTGCTGGCACGGAAACTACAGCTGGGCAAACGGATCTGAGAGAACAGGTTGAGCTTGCGACGGAACTTGACAAAGCACCTGATGATGCGCCGCTGTACGATGGGCTGAGGGGTCCGAATCAATGGCCATCTGGGCTTCCGGAGCTAAAGGGTGTTGTTACGCGGTATATTGAGGAACTTACACTACTAGGCGAATGCTTTTTGAGACTTGTTGCGAAAGCTCTTGATCTTCCGGATGACATCTTCTTCTCATACCTATCCGACCAACACCGTCTTAAACTAGTCCACTACCCAGCTTCAACAATATCATCCCAAGGCGTCGGTCCGCACAAAGACTCCTCAGGATGGTGGACATTCCTCCTCCAAGCATCCCCCCAAGTAAGCGGTCTCCAAGTCCTCAACAAATCCGGCTCGTGGATCGACGTGCCCGCCATCCCGGACACTTTCGTCGTCAACATCGGCCAAGCATTCGAAGTCGTCACCAACGGCGTATGCAAAGCGACTACACACCGCGTCCTATCATCCCCAGAGGAAAGATTCAGCGTTCCGTTCTTTCAAGGTGTGCGACGTGATTTGACGAGGAGTGAAGCAATGACTTCGTTGAAGGAGCATTTTGAACGCTGGGGTGAAGGGGAGGAGGCGGGTGAGGCGGGGGCGGTGGATAATCCGTTTGTGAGGGGGTGGTATGATACGTGGGGAGAGACGCAGTCGAGCACGAAAGTTAGGAGTCATAGGGAGATTGGGAGGAGGTTGTATGGGAGTGTTTATGAGAGGTA